TACTTCCTTATGACTTTATATGTTATGACTTTATGAATTGCATGTAAAATTAACACATTCTATTTATTTGTATATTAACAACAAAATTTTCATTATAGCATGCGTATTATAATATATATGTTACTAAACTAACTATATCATTTTCTTATTGAAGTTTAAAACCACCGAATAACTACGTATAACTATAACTATAATATACGTATAAGGTACTAGCATTATAAAACGCCGTACTAGTTTAGTATAAGTATGCATGAATCAGCGTTGGACGATGACAATATCAAGTCATTTATATAGTTATATTTATATGTCATAATAGTCATTTGATATGTCATCATGTCATATGATATGTCATTTTGTCATATTTATCTTATTATTTATGACACTATCATATGATATCGTAATATGTAAGTCATATGATAACACTGATCGAAACGCATTTTCTCGGACCTTTACTAAGTAAAAAATGGTGGTAAAGTTAGGAAAAAAAATTTTTTTTTACGTAAGAAGCCAAAATAAATTAAAATTAGAATTAATATTAATAAATATAAAGTTAGAGTTAGAATTAGAATTAGAATTAGGATTAGAGTTAAAGCTAGGATAAGGTATTTATAGTACTAAACATTTTTACAGTGCATCAAACATGGTTATTTAAGCCGTTTTAAGTTATAATAAGAGGGTGGTTACGTTAACCAGGGGACAATTTAGCAACACTCGATAGGTTCATTGTTGATCTACTTTATATCATTAGATTTTCTTGTATTTTTAAAGATTTAAAATACAAAATTTGTACACAAATTAAAATGCATCATCTTTTGCTATTTCATTCGAAAGTATTCGAAGGTGGGAATAATAAATAGCTAAATCGTTTAACCATAGAGCTAGAAATTTTTGAAAAAAAATATATATATTTGTTTAGCAAATATACTATAAAATTATAAATAAATTTAAAATATTTTACTATTAATAATAATATACATCAAAGCTAAATAAGACCAAAAAAAAAAAATATCCAAAAATTAGAAAACCAAATTATTGAATCCAGTCAATTAATAAGGTTGAGAAAAATTTATAAACAAAATATCCTTTCAGGATATTGTAAATATCTGTCACTATTTAATAAAAAAAAACATATTTTAGAAAATAGCTATAATTCGATAATGATTAGTTCTAATAATTCTCTATATACAATATTTCATCTCAAATCATTCATATTGATCGTAATCGCCGTATTGGTCATATTCAGTGTAATAATCAGGTTCATCTTCCACATCGCTATAACAATTTTCGTCATAATTTTGACAATAAAAAGTATTTCTGAAGAACTCTGGCCCGTGTTCGGCAAGATTTATTATGAGTAAAAATGTTGTGATAACGCCAATTGTAAAAGCACTCATGATCTTACTTCGTTATACGTGAGACTTTTGATTTTTATTTTGGTGGAAAGATAAGTATAATGTATATTATTATATTAATATGTCTTTTTGTATAAAGAAGCATTTATTATGCACAAAAGTTAATGCGACAGCTTCTGCGTTGTAAGTACCAAACTAATTGTTTTCAAAATTCAATCCTTCATATACGTGATTTAAATTCTCAGAATACGTGCGACAGAAACTTAATATAGAAAAGCAAGAGCGGAAACTATCGGCATGTGATCTTCTACAAAAAGAAACAATTTCTTTATACGATGATACGGATGAATATTGAGTACGTAATTCATATGAGGACACAAGCACAAACTAACTATACTCGCTAACCCATTATCTTTTCTATGCACTCTTCGGAATTGATGTATATTAGCTGCATACCATAAATTATATTTAAGACTTTATGTACGAATGCAAGTAGTTGAATCTATAATGAGAAAATAGAAGTTTGTGAACATCTTAAACATTTCAACAATATAATAATATTGAGATAGAGTTGAAAAAGCAAACAAAATGGAACACGGTAAAAAGAATCGTACTCACATGCAATGACTAACCAAAACAATGAATATAATGCATAATTTAGGTGACTCATCTAAATTGTGTATTGGTCACATTTACATTGCTGATTAACAGATTCGCATTTTTAAATATATATCATCTTAATTAATAAAGTACTGTAATGAACTTTATGATTATAATAAATATATAATACTTAACTACCGTATTACATTAATTTAAACGCTAACCTCTATCGCTGTCATAATTTATTATTATCGTTAATGACTTTTCCAGATCAAAAAAATGTAACCTGAGTTACCCACGGGTTACCCAGATGATTGTGTATCACATATTGCAGGTACGTACGTACGTAACTAGCGCTAGTACGTACGTACGTACATACCGCAAAAAGAAGTACAGAGAGACCTCTCTAAATGCACCTTGTTAATGGAGCACTCCGTTGACTCCGTTTTAATAGTAATACTCCGGAGTATTACTATTAAAATGGAGTCAACGGAGTGCTCCATTAACAATCCTACATTTTCTAAATGCACCAAGTATATACTTGACTCCTATAAATGCACGGTACCTATGGTGTGCATTTAGAAAGGTCTCTCTGTATCACTCTTGTGAGACCCGACTCGATCCACGCGACGATCCGTTCCCTATTTTAGGTTATATTAAACAACAGTATCTGACTTGTCTATATTATTAAATATTTATATCTAATACAGGCATACTTCTATAGAGTGGATAGATTAGTGGAGCAACCAAAATTCAGCAGATCGACCAATATTTAGGGTCGGAATAGGCCGGAATTGATAAATTTATCCCAAAGTCACCCAAAATCTTACTAATGAAATGGTAGCCCACGTACTAAGTAAAGCTGCCCAGATGATAATTTTGCTGTAATATACAAATAAATAGAATGTGTTAATTTTACATGCAATTCATAAAGTCATAACATATAAAGTCATAAGGAAGTACATCCGATAGTCCAAGATATTATTATTGCTAATCTTTGTTGTAAGCGTATACTTTTTTACGCGTCATTCTTCAAGTTATGTATCATTCGTAGGTTAGAAAACAATATATGTCACTTTGCTATTAAACTTATGACTAAAAACGTAAAACATTAATGCCTAATGTCGAGATTTTCATTATTTTTATTAACATCTGAGTACTACGCATAGATTGGCTAGTATTATACGTTATGAATTGGCTGCTCTTCTTGAACATTATGGTTAAGCATTCTTAAATATTGTAGGTTAGAAGTTCTTGATATTTCGCTTGGTGCCTATTTACACTATAAATCGGGGGTTTAAATCCATTTTTGGATATTCTATAGAATAGGTGGGCAATATAAGAAATAAGCTTCGCTAATGATTATTTTTAATATCGGAGTTGTGGAGTTTGCGGAGTTTGCCCACCCATTCTATAGAACATCCTACAAGGATATGATTACTCCCTGTATAAAAACATCAATCATATTTAAATAAAAATTTTTTTATTATTTTTACTTTTTAAACAAGTTAGTCAGAACTTTAGGTTAATCTATAGCATTACAGATATAAAGGTTTATGAAACTATTCTTCTTGTAAAGTGTTAAAAATCTACAATTATAGTAGAAGTTCCAGATTTTTGTTAATAACACCATATTATAGTTGATATTTATAACATTAAGTAAAAATCTTGATAAAAATTATTTACCTCTTGGGTAGTGTTATTATAAAACAGCTTTGAACAAATTGTAAACAATTCTAAACAAAAAACAAACCTAAATTACTCAAAATTTTATTAAAATAATCTATTTTAACCTTTAAATAAAAATATTTAAAATTATAAAAAATATATAATTAGAATTTATTTAAATTTAACCTCTGGTGAAATTCACCGTGATTACGTAATAGGATAGATTAGTGCGTGAGATACCCTAATCTATACTACATAATACATAGTTACGCAATCATGCATTACGCCATATTAACAATGTTACAGTAAAATAGTTTTAAAAGAAGTATCGCTTATTGCTATACAATTTCATTGCACATTACTTTCAAAAGAAGAGGCGGGAACTGACTTCTTTGAACTCTGGTAATAATCAACTTGGACCAAAGGTAGGAAGCATACTATTGAACGTATTTTGCAAGATCAACATGCTGAATTTTGTTAAAGTTGGTTTGAAGGGAGGAAGTGCATTAGCTGACGCATTTGTAAGGGTCATCTTGACCAAAGAAAAGAAGCACTTTAGTGAGTATATTTGTAAGCGCTTAGATTTAAGAATTATGCTGAGAATAGTGTTCATTGTTAAAACAATGAAAAATTTATAAAACGAGTCTAGGCACATTGGAACCTTGAAAGCTTTAATTATCAACTTCTTACCAATGAACTAAAACATTAGTACCTTTTTTAATTTTTTTTAGTCATTTTGTAAGAATAATGCATGTGTTATCTTATACTCTACCTGAAGATACTTCCGAAGTTTGTTCTATTACCAATGTACAGTCATTCTTGGCCCATGAAAAAGGTATAAATAATACCACTAGCGATGCTGTGAACATAAGTAATGCCACGAACATGAATGATGATAATAATGATGCCATGAATGATACTGTGAGCGATGCTGTGAGCGATTCGATGAACGATGCTGTGAGCGATTTGATGAACAATGCCGTGATGAACGATGCTATGAACGATGCTGTGGACGATGCCATAAACGATACTGTAAACAATACCATGAGCGATGCGATGAAGGATGCCATGAGCAGTACCGATTACATTAACAAAATTCAGACATATGGTAATATTAGAATTAATGGGAATTTCAAACGTGCTGGTTTCAAAATAAGTAACAAAATCGAGTTCATTTTTGTTACTTATCTTGGAACCAGCACTTTTGGGATCACTGTGGTTAGTTTATATTTTATCATAGTTTTACTTAACACTAATCTTCTAGCTTTTTTTAGATTTTTCTAGTGATTATGATACATCCATACCTACTTATGAGTATAAGCTTAATGTAGAAGACGTCTTTGACGACTGGTCATCTGTTGATACATTTATACATCAATACTGTTTTGAACGAGGTTTTGGGTACCAAACTTTTCGTAATGACAAAGACCCAAATGATTCCTCTGTTACTTATTGCAAGTCTTATCGTTGCTCAGCAAGTGGAGAATATAAGGCCAAAAAAAACATAGATCAGAATTCGCACTGGTTGCGTGGTAATATGAAAATCAGTTGTGAATAGCATTGTAATTTTATCTTTCCAAAAACAACAAAACAAATATCATGTACAACACTAAATGACAAACATAGTCATAAATTGAACCCAAACCAAATAGCAAATATGGTTCCAAGGTATCATTAGCTTAATAATGAAATGGTTCAAGAATTAAAGTTTCTTACTAGCTGTAAAGTATCACCAATTACACAGTTAGAAATACTTAAGAAAAAATTTCCAGATCATGTTTTTTATAAATAGGATGTTTATAATGCGATTTACAAAAACTGTAATAATAGAAATGAATTGAATTCTGATTCTAGTTCATTTCTTAGTACACTTTTAGAAAAAAAGGATCAAGATGCAAATTGGAAGGTGTTTGTCTGACATACTGGTAATGAACGTCGTCTATCAGGTGTTTTTTGGATATCACCATCTCAGCAAGATTTGTACCAGCAATTTTATGATGTGGTTTTAAATGATAATATATGTAAAACTAATAAGTATAACATGTATTTGAGTGTATTTATGATTAGGGATAATTATGAAAGGTTTTGAAATGTGGCAAATGCATTAGTTGAGGATGAAATAGCGTCGACATATAGATGAATTATTAGAACTAATCATTATCGAATTATAGCTATTTTCTAAAATATGTTTTTTTTTATTAAATAGTGACAGATA